CCCCAAAACCCCAAAACCCCAAAACCCCAAAACCCCAAAACCCCAAAACCCCTTCAAATTTAAATCGATTGATGTGAGATTATTTGAATATAGTGGAGTTAAAACTGTCAAAAGCAGTCTTGAACCTGCGAAGAGATCACATCTTAGCCCTCTTGATCTCTTCTTCATCTGAGTCACAGTCGTCTTCGCTATCACTGTTTTCTTCTTCGCTTAATTCAAGGGGTTTTCTGAATATTTGGCTCTCTTTAAATACTCTGAATGATTTTTGAGGGATCCCGCCTTTAGAACTCCTCTCACAATTTGGGAGGGATTCATTGAGAGCTAGAGTCGACTGGTTTGACTTCAAAGTAAGAGTAGTAAACTCCATACCTTTCTGGCCTACTTCAGTGTCTTCTGAGGTCTTCCGCCTTTTTATGGACTTCACAACCTCTCTAGAGACGCTTTTCTTCCTCTTTAGTCCTTTCTGAGGCTGACTCTTCTGAGAAGCTGTTTCTACCTGAATTTCCTTTGACAAGATAAGTCTTCTTTGGGATGTAAAATCAGCATTGGTGCATTCAGATGGGGCCTCTGTGTCTTTACTGGAAAGAGCATATTCGTAAATAGTTCTGTTTTTACCAGACGGAATCTTTCTGGATATTTTTGACTTTCTTTTGCCTGTTTTCTCTGTTTTCTTAAGAGCCTCTCGAGATTTGCTCCTAGTGATGATATTGCTAGCTTGAGGCTTGCAGACCACGCCCAGATCTCTTGATTTACTGGAAGCTCTGGAAGATTTTCTCTTCTCGCAGCTTGAGATAGATCTGACAAGAGTCCTAGGTTCAGTGGTAAGCTTTTCAGTAACCTTCTTAGACATTGGCTTATGAATAGTATTCCTCTTCCTTGCTCTAAAGCAAGAAAATATAGAAATCTGAGTGGTTTTCTTTGCCTTAGCCATTTCTAATTTGATTAAAATTTTGCGTTCAATCCTTAATTAGATACTGGGGTTTTGGGGTTTTGGGGTTTTGGGGTTTTGGGGTTTTGGGGTTTTGGGGTTTTGGGG